CTTTTTTTGAGACAAGGTCTCTCACCAAACCGAGAGCACATGATTGGCTAGACTGGCTAGACTGGGGGCTCCTGAGCCCCCAGGATCCTGTCTCTACCCCTACACTGACAGGTGTTACATACGCCCACTGCGTGCCAGATTTCACACGGGAGCCGCCGTGTTCTGAATACAACAAACACTTTTGAGACGTCTCCCCAGCCCCACTAGTGTTTTCAATATAGTCTAAGTACCCTGCTGACAGCAGGGATTCTGAGGCAACGAACAAGAGGCCAAGAGTAGGCATACTCCATGGTCTAGCCTCAGCTCAGGGGCTCAGACAGGGTCTGGATTCAGTTTCCTCACCTCAGAACACCTCTGTCGCGAGTTTGAGTTGCATGTGCACCACACGGCCATGGCAGAGATGGGGCCAGCCTGCACTCGGAAAGACACTAATAATAATAATAGGCACATGTCAGAGCCAGGCAGGCGGGGTGTGGCTGTCTCGTTTCAGCTTCAGAGTGTGCAGGGATTAACTTTACTCTTTTTGTTGTTGTCCTCGTTCCTCTACCCCAAGTGCTGGGATTACATTGGTGTGTCACCATGCCCGCCTCTAACTTCATGTCATCAAATAAGGAGAGATCTGAGTGTCCTGACGTTCACTGTCCCTGAAACAAACGATAGATCTTTCCTTAGCTGGTGGTTTCAGTTTCACTATGACTGTTGTCTCTTTGAAACATCTGGCTTCCTTTACTCACCATCCCACTTTAAAAATTAAACACAATTCAGAAGCTGAATCTGCAGCAAAAGACAGAGAGAGAGAGAGAGAGAGGGAGGGAGGGAGAGAGAGACAGAGATTACCACATCACACACGTCAAGAGTCTGAGTGATGAGAACCAAGTAGAGGCTACCACCATAAACCAGCACTTGGGAGCCCAAGGAGGGTAGTCATGAATTTTAGGAGATCTTGGGCTCCAGAATAAGATCATCTTAAAGGAAAGAAATGCAGGAATATAGGGAGGGAGCAGTTATGATATGGAGTTGGCATTTGGAAAGTGGACAGCCGTTATTATTTTTGTTATCAATGTCTTTTTTAAATTTGAGACAAGCTCTCATGTATCCCAGGCTGACCTCAAACTCATATGTAACAGAGGGCGACCTTGGATTAATGAGCCTCTGGACCTGGGATTATAGGCATGTGCCGTATATGTCTCCCAATATCGGCAACTACTACCGCTTATTAGAACTTAAGGTCAACAAGTGACACAGCAGAGATTTATCCCTGGGGGTTTGGCCCCCACTGAAATTATCAGCTGCATTCTTTAAGGTTAGCACCTGTCATAAATTGATATTATTTCCCAATTAGCTTGTGATAAATGTTTGCCACTGACCAACCTAGCCGTGAATTGGACACGTTCCTGAAGTCTACTGGGGTACATTTTTCCAGTCACACGGTTCCCAAGGGATATCTGACACACCGGGTGCTCCTTGTTGATGGAGCTCAGAAACACCCCATTTTATCAGCCACGGTACTGTCACCTGTGTGGCGGAGGCCAGACAAGGGACAGGATTCCCCGTGTCCTTGAAGAAATTCAGCTGCCTGAGACGCCTGGTCCCACCACGCACTGCTGTCCAGAGAGGGAGCTTTGTTCACTTAGACCTTAGTTTTTCTCTGCCCTGGTTTGTGTGATATGCATGTGCTTGCACGTGTGTGGTTGACGTGCACCTGTGTGTGCATACATGTGCAGGCTAGAGGCTGATTTCACGTGTCTTTCTCAACCACTCTCCGTCTTATACATTGAAACAGAGTCTCTCACTTGAACCCAAAGCCCAGGGATTCAGCAAATCTAGAGAGCCATCCCTCCCTCCTGAGGGTTAGGAAGACAAGTGGATCTCCACACCTGGACTGGACTTAAATGTTCTGGGGATCCAAACTCTGGTCTTCATACCTACAGACCCATCTCCTCACCCCCGAATCTGTGATTCTTAAACAGAAATGCAAATACATTTCCTACTGACTCTGGGGTGTGGGATCCTAGGGCCGCCCCTCCCCACACCCCCTGCAGATTGTGCTCTTTCATAGTGGTCTCTAATTTTTTGTGTGTGTAACTCCCTTTGTTAATATCAGTTTCTAGATTTAACTAGACTTTTTTTTTTTGAGACAAGGTCTTGTGTAGCTCAGTCTGCCCTCGAGTTGACCAATGCAGCCGAGTGACTTCGAATTACTTCCTGTCCTGTCTCCATCATCCCCATCTGGAGGATGGGATTACAGGTGTGTGTCACCACGCCTGGCAGATGATTTTATTCCATAGCACTTGCCATGTGTGAAGGGAGTAGGTGTCATGAAATCACAGGCTACGAGTGTGCTAATAACATGGGGCTTGAGCTTAAAAACTAGAGTTTTGTTGGGTCTGAAGAGCTGGCTCAACAGTTAAGAGCACTGCCTGCTCTCCCAGAGCATCTGACTTCTGTCCCCAGCCTCTGTCAGTCAGCTCACGATTGCCTAGAACTCCAGCTTCAGGGGGTCCAATGCCTTTGGTATCCATGAGCACTGGCCCCCTCGTGCACAGACCCACACGTAGACGCATAATTAAAAATAAAATCTAAAGACAAGACAACTAGACTTTTATCAGCTCCCCTGATTTCTGTTTATAATGCCTGACCTGGCCTTGAAGCCTCACGATTCTTTTTCTTTTTATTGGGATTAATATTATCTTATTATTATTATTACTTATTTTGCTAAGCCTGGAAAGACCTGACTTGTTTTGTCACAGCAACAAAATAATCAGTTTTGTTTCTCACCCCAAACTTGGAAATAAAAAGCATCATTTCCATGGAAGGCACCCTCCTTCCCAAGCTCTTGCTTTTGTACAACTGAAATATCAGTTCATTGTTACTTCTCTATTTAGAGATTATTGGGGTTTCAGTTTTCATTGTGTCCTTGTGGGTTTTTCTGTTTTGGTTGCCTTAAAAAAAAAGCCTCTTTTATCACTCCCCCACATAGATACTTTCTTAAATAAATTTTTATTCAAGTTTAAAACAATCCTATTTTACATACCAATCTCAGTTCCCTCTCCCTCACATCCTCCCATGCCCACCCCCCCATCCCCCCATCCCACCCCCCCAGGAAGGGTGAGGTCTCCTATGGAGGATCATCAAAGTCTGTCACAACCCTCCCCCATGTATCTGGGCTGAGAGAGTATCTCTCCATAGGGAAAGGGCTCCCAAAGCCCATTCATGCACTAGGGGTAAATACTGGTCTCACTGCCAGAGGCCCTGTAGACTGCCCAGGCCCCTCAACTGGCACCCACATATTTCAAGACAGGGTTTCTCTGTGTTGCTTTGGAGCCTATCCTGGCACCGGCTCTGTAGACCAGTCTGGCCTGGGACTCACAGAGATCCTCCAGCCTCTGCCTCTCCAGTGCTGGGATTAAAGGTGTGCGCCACCACCGCCCGGCCAGTCACTTTCTTAAGCGTCCTCGTCAGCAGGCCTTCAGTAGAGTGTGGTTTGACCGCTGATGCCTGTCGACCTCGGGGTGTCCTGACACTTTTGTCCTACTCCAATAATAGAAAACGGTAATTTAGGCTGTTTCAGGAAGGACAAGTGCCTCTTAAGCACTGACTGCGTGTCAGATGAGCCGCTAGCGTTTTTTCACCCCATGTCAGTATTGCTGTTGGGTGACTTGCCATCCTGCTTGCCTTGTAGATGGGACACAGAGCCTCAGAGAGATGCTAAGGGGTAGAACCCTTCCCACTGTCAGGTAGTGTTTGTTTCTGGACACCCCCTTCTTTCTTTCTCTCCCTGCTTCTCCACCCTGAGTCGGTTACAACGGGTAATTCACTTGACGGTAATGGGAAGCCCTTGTCACAGGCCTTGTGGGACTTAGGGAGACTTGGCCTTTACATTTCAGAGCACAGACACTATAGTCACCAGGTGTGTTATTTGTACTTTTTGTTGCTCTTAGAATGCACCAGGTGTGTTATTTGTATTATTGTGCTGCCCTTAGAATGCACACACGTAGCCGGGCGGTGGTGGCGCACGCCTTTAATCCCAGTACTCAGGAGGCAGAGGCAGGCGGATCTCTGTGAGTTAGAGGACGGGCTGGACCGACAGCCTCCAAAACAATACAGAGAAACCCTGTCTCGTAAAACCAAAATAAATAAATAAATAAATAAATAAATAAATAAATAAAAGAATGCACATACGTATGTTAGTGTGTGTGCAGGTGCACGTGTGGAAGCCGGAGGACAATGTCTGGCGTCACCTTCATTTTTCATTCAGGTTCTGTAGCTTGCACTTGGTCCTCGTGGTGCCCGCAAGGCTCCTTATCCACCGAGTCGCCTCTCGATTCCCGTCGGTGTCATTCTCTGACCATCAGGTGAGTGGACACTCGGTTCTCTGTGCCATTGTTATGAAAACCGGCAAAGCTCAGCACCTTCAATTCACGCGTGATCCCGACCCCCAGGCCAGCCCTGTTCTCAGGCATCTTCATTTTCCAAATCTACCTACGCTCTGACTTGGATATGTGCCCCTCTCCTACCCCTCTAAACGTTCTTTAAAAAAGGCACTCTCGTCAATAACTGCTCTATAATAACTCCTATCAATAACTACAGGTTAACTTGTCAGAAAGTCGTAAGCCAGGACCAGCAAGAAAATTATTTTCTATTTCTCTCTCGCCTCCCTCCGTCCCTCCCTCCCTCCGTTTGTGTATGTGGGGGGTATATACCCACATATTCTCTCTTGCTCTTTTTCTGTGGGTGTGGGCGTGGGTGGTGGGGCTATGCACAGGTGTCTCAGCACAGATGCGGAGGTCAGAGGACAATCTGTAGGAATCTGTTCTTTCCTCCCACTATGTTGGGTCCTGGAGATGAACCGCGGGCTACAGGCTTGGCAGCAAGTACCTTTACCCACTGAGCCATCTTGTTCGACTTAGCTGGGTTTTGTTGTTGTTGTTGTTGTTAAAATAAATAAACCTAGAGTTTCAATGTGTAGCTCAGGCTGATCTGGTAGTGAGAACAATCCTCCTGCATCAGCCCCCCGAATGCTGAGGTTGCAAGCATGAATCAACATCCTGCAGGAAGAAATAACTTTTAAACTAATGGCGAGGCTCACGGCTGGGGAGCGAGAAAGCCCTGTATGCGGTGCCCCTGGCCGATTGTGTGTATGCGTGCGCGCACCTGTTAGTGGTGGGAGGGCAGTTTGGAGACTGAACTTCCACTGAGTTGATGAATGCCCCCCACCCCCACCAGCAACGCCCTCCCCCGCAACGGTTTTCTAGATTCCAATCCCAGTCGCCGCCTTCTTTCCAAATTCTCCAGCCACACCATTGTCCAGGAAGCGCAAGCAGCTAGAAACCACAGGGAACTGTCGGACTCAACCTGTAGGAAGCTGAATGGAGGCCGGACCAGCTCCAGGGTGAAGAAAGCGAACTGATGTTGTGCAAATTGTACCCGGCACTGTCTCAGGAAGTGCCGTAGCTTCCTGATTGCGAATGCAGATAATAAGAGTGTAAGGGCTGCAGCGACCAAGGATGAAAGCGACCGACCCGCCAAAATGTAGAGAATGACATCTTTAAGTACAGGTGCAAGAAAGTCACTGCAGTGGTAAGGAGGCCTCAGACAAGGGATTGGTTTTGTGTCTCAAGCAAAGACCACCGGGAACTTTGGGGATGGTGGCATAAAAGGTTCGGGACACTCGACTGCTGGTGACACACAATTGTTGGGTTTCCAGGGAGCCGGGTCTACCACTTCTTCCCCCCTGTTTTCCAAGAGAAATAATGAAAAAAAAAAAGAACTTTAAAAAGATTGACCTATTTACAGTTTGGTAAACCTGGAGAGAACAAACCTTGTTTCTCTTCTCAGTGTCTGTGATTAGGGTTTATGAAAATCCCTGAGACACAGGCCAAAAGACTGCAGATTTAGCTTTGACGGTTCAGCTGGTCCTGATCCAGGGGCAGAGTGAATCAGCCCTGGGTTGCTTCTATTTTCTGAAGGCTGCCCGGTGCTGTTGCCTGCTTCACACACACCAACATACATGCATACATATGTATTAATACACACACACACATACACGCACATACACGGGTACTGAACTTTTGAAATATGACAAGAGTGACCAAGGAATTGCCTTTAAATTTCTAAAATAAAAATTTATCATTTAGATTTTTTAAAAGTTACTTAATTTTTAGGAAAGCTCTTGTGTGTGTGTGTGTACCCCTAGCTGGCAATGTTAAAGTTACTTAATTTTTAGGAAAGCTCTTGTGTGTGTGTATCCCTAGCTGGCCAGATGTTGTGTGACAACACTTTTCCTGAACATGCAACAGATGTGTCTACTCACCCCAGCTAATAGACCCCAGGATAGACCAAAGCATGGATCCCACCAAAGTCCAGCTTGGTGAGCCAACGAGTTTTATTGGGGTTACTTACAGGAATATGGGTGAGGGGTCACTTATTTATAGGAGCAGAAATGACTCAAAGACAGCTGCATCGCCATAGTCCACCCCGGTGTGGGTGGCGGCTCACATGGGAGGGGGGAGGAACCTGGAGCACAGTGCAGAGACTTCAGGCAGCTCAGCAGGTTGGAAAGTGTCTTTCCAGGTACCCGGGATTGGTCTAAACCTCTTCCAGGCAGCTGGGCTGGCTTCTGCCTTTTTCCAGGCAGTTGCTCTGTTTTCACAATTCCCTCTGCAGCTGGACTGGTCTGAGAGGGATTCTAACTTTGGTCAGTTTCAGGGACTTCCTGAGGCTATGTGTGTTGTTTACTTACCGAGCTTCCCTGAAGGATGGGAAGCTCCTTGGAGGAAATGTTACATACATACATACATACACACACACACACACACACACACACACACACACACACACACACACACACCAGGCTACCCGCTAGATCGTCTGTGCTGGCTTTGTTAATATTTTTAAGATTTCATTTTATCTTGTGCGGGCTCATTTTCGTGCTCAGGTAGAGGCTAGACGGCAGTCTATAAGAGTGGGTTCTTTCCTTCCAGCGTGTGGAGCTTGAGGATTGGACTCTGCCCGCCAGGCTTGATTACAATCACCTGTTACCTACTGAGCCATCCCTCTGGATCCCACAGAAAACTTCCACTTTAAATGTATGAGTTGGCTAAAAGTAAAAGGATGAGAGGGCACTGGGCTGAGGAGATGACTCACTGGGTAAGTTGTTTGTCGTGCAAACGCGAGGAACATGGTTTGAATCCCCAGACCCACGAAGAGCTGGGTATGTGTGGTTATCCCAGTTCTCCTAAGCGAGATGAGGGGCAGAGCCAGGAGCGTCCTTAGAGGCTCACAGGCCAGCTCACCTGACACGCACAGCAACTGGTAATAAAGAGACCCCCTCAGGTCTGCAGAGATGGCTCATACCGCAGAAGACCAGAGCACAGTTCCCAGCACCTACATGGCATCTGACAACCTTCTGTAACTCCAGTTTCTGATCTGATGCCCTCTTTTGGCCTCTGTGGGCACCATGCAAGCAAGCAGACACCCACATGCGTAAAATAAAAAAATTTAAAAATGAATCACTCACACATATCCACACACACACAGAGAGAGAGAGAGAGAGAGAGAGAGAGAGGAGAGAGAGAAAGACATAGACACAGAGAGACAGAGAGAGAGCAGAGAAAGAACACACGCATGCATGTACTCATGCATGCATAGAAAGAGCAAAAGAGCACACACGCATGCACACACACACCACAGAGAGAGAGAGAGAGACAGACAGACAGACAGACCATGCGTAAAATAAAAAAAATTAAAAATGAATCACACACACACACACACACAGAGAGAGAGAGAGAGAGAGACAGACAGACAGACAGACAGACAGACATAGACACAGAGAGACAGAGAGAGGACTTTTCCCAAGCACATTGGTGAGGACAGACTCTCCAGGTTGTACTCTCACCTCTGTGTGTGCGTTGTGTGTTCTGGCACACCCCACCCCCATACACACACGAATAATTCACTGTTAACGCCGTCTACAACCAAGTTGGAGTATATCAATATCTGACAAGATAGATTGCAGAGCCAAGTTTTGCCAGCAACAAAGAGGGTCATTTAATGAAGATAACTGGGGATGGAAATACAGAGAGGGCTCAGTGGTTAGGAGCATGTATTTTTCTTCCGGAAGGACCTGAGTTCAATTCCCAGCTCTCAAGTTAGGAAGCTCACAACAGCCTGCAACTTCAGCTCCTGGTGAACCACCACCTCTACCCCACACATGGGGCACATACACAGACGCCCCACAATTAAAAATAAAAATAAGCTGGTCGGTGGTGGCGCACGCCTTTAATCCCAGCACTCGGAAGGCAGAGGCAGGCGGATCTCTGTCAGTTCCAGGCCAGCCTGGTCTACAGAGCTACACAGAGAAACCCTGTCTCAAAAAAACAACAAAAATAAATCTAAAAAAAAAAAGAAAGATAGAGGACAGTTCCTCAAGAAAATTTAACAATCCCCAGTATGTCTTAATCAATTTATTGAAGTATGGTTGCCATGAAAAGCCTATACATACTTAATGTACACAGTGTATGAGTTTAGAGATAGGTGTCCACCCTTGAAAACATTGACACAATCTGCCGTTTGCATTCTCGTCACCGTCACAAGTACCTTCCCCCTTCCCTCCCTCCCTCCTCCTTTCAGGCCTATGGGACAAGACTCTTGGCACCGGCTGACTGAACCCTTAACACATCTTTAATGTGGTATGACCCTGGGTGTGGTGGCACGGCAGGATAGGCTAGGTCTTTAGGATATACTCATGTCTCACAAACAAACTTTAGGATATACTCATGTCTCACAAACAAACTTTAGGATATACTCATGTCTCATAAACAAACTTTAGGATATACTCATGTCTCATAAACAAACTTTAGGATATACTCATGTCTCATAAACAAACTTTAGGATATATACTCATGTCTCATAAACAAACTTTAGGATATACTCATGTCTCATAAACAAACTTTAGGATATATACTCATGTCTCATAAACAAACTTTAGGATATACTCATGTCTCATAAACAAACTTTGCACTCCATGACCAAGGCTTCCCCACTTCTCTATCCTCTGAGATTTGGGAACTCGGCTTTCAGACTCCACGTTGCTATAGTCTGGCTCCCATGTTGAAGGCTTGGTCCCCAGTCTGTATGGTTGGAAAGGGAGAGGTGGGGCTTAGTGGAAGGAAGTGAGGTCATCACGGCTGTGCCCTTGAAGGGAATTTTTGGAACCATGACCTCTGCCTGTCTCTCTCTTTTTGCTTTCTGGCATCAGTGAACTGAGCAGGCCTCCTCTGTCCTGTGTTCCCACCATAAACCCAAAGCAACAAGGATGAATGACTTAGTATACTTTTGAAACTTTGAGCCCAAACAAACCTGTTTCATTGTTTCCAGCTTTGTTCTTGCTTTGTAGCCTGATCTGGTCTTGCCTCAAACTCAGGATCTTCCTGTTGTCTTAGGCTCTGAGTCTCTCAGTTGCTGGGATTACAGGCATGCACCACCATGACTGCCGAAGTTTTCCTCTTTTTGAGTTGATTATTGTCACAGTGGTGGAAGCCAAATATAATAGCATTTGCCCTTGTTTATATCCTGCTTAGTATTATGTCCTCCCAATTCAATAGTTTTGTTGCAAATGCTAAGATTTCCTTCTTTTTTAAAGGTCGAATACTATTCTTTTGTGTGTGTGTACCATGGTAATGTGAGCACCACTGTTGTGTGAGCACCACTGTTGTGTGTGTGTATAACACTGTTGTGTGTATGTATAACACTGTTGTGTGTGTGTACCATGGTAGTGTGAGCACCACTGTTGTGTGTATAACACTGTTGCGTGTGTGTACTACTGTTGTGTATGTGTATAACACTGTTGTGTGTGTACTACTGTTGTGTGTATATAACACTGTTGTGTGTGTGTATAACACTGTTGTGTGTGTGTACCATGGTTGTGTGAGCACCACTGTTGTCTGTGTGTGTACCACCCTTCTTCACCTGGTCATCCCCCGGTGGTTTCTGTTCTGGCTCTTGGGAATATTGTTGCAATGGACTTGGGTTGCAGAAATCTTTTTGAGATCCTAATTTCACTCTCTTTGGAGATAGTTCCAGGAGTGGGGTTTCTGGGCACATGGTAGTTGTGTTTCTTGTTTTCTGAGGGCCCTCCATGCTGCTTCCCACTCTGGCTGCATGGCAGCCAGCAACATGCAGTAGGCCCTTTCCTCCACATCCTTGGCAACATTTATCTTTTGTTTATTGATAATCACTACATCCTCTGTGCTGAGGTGCTAATATTGTGGTTTTGATACGCATTTCCCTCATGACTGGTGATTTGGGCATCTTTTTATAGTTCACTTCAAATAGAATAATAATTTTTTATGGTTCAGAATATTACCTATCTAAGCAAACAGTATCCCTTCACTTTTTTTAAAAAAAGAATGTTTATTCAACCTCCCATCTCTTCTTTTCCATGTCTTTCTCTGGGTGTGTGTATCACTGAGGGTGTCTTCAGGCTAAACAAATCCTCAATGCATGAGTTCTGTATATACTTAACACCAGCCTTCTGTATATAGTTAACAACAGTTTGTTTTACTTCTGTTGGATGGGATGTTTGTACTCATTAATTAGATAAAGATTTTTGGCAGTATTATGTCTGCTTGCTCTATCAAGTATTGAGAAAGTAGTATTGATCTATAAAGCTTCCGTACTACTCTTTGAAGTTTTATGAGTTTTTACTTCAAACAAATTGAAGCTGCATGAAGGGCTATCAAAGCAAATTCTAGATGACAAACTGAGAATGGGAAACAACAATATTTCTCAAGTGCAGGAAACCAGTGAATCTCAAGCAAGATGCGTGTGTGTGTGTGTGTGTGTGTGTGTGTGTGTGTACAATTCTCACCTAGCCACATCATACTGAAACTGCAGAATACTCACACTTATATGAAAGAGAACCATCAAAGCAACCAGACAATTTACCAATTTAAAAAACAAAAACTAATGGGGTAACAAGATAGCTCAGTGGGTAAAAGCAATTGCTGTACGTTCCTGATGACTTGAGTTTGATCCCTGGGATCCATATAAAGATGTTAAATTCAGTGACTCATATTTGTAATCATCCACAGCATTCCTATGGCGAAAACGGAGGAGGAGGCAGGAGAATCAGGTGGGAACTCTCATATGCAACACAGTAGCCCAGATAACAAGAAAGACCATGACTGAAAACCAGGAACCAAGGTGGACAAAAAGATTCTTGAAACATTGTTACCTCCATGCATGTACTGTGGCATATGAGCACCCAAACACACACACCCACACACACCAAATAAATATTTTTTAAAAACCTGATAGATCACGTTTTTTCAAAACATTGTTTGGGACAATGCCATCTCACTTTATAGTCCAGGTTGACCTCAAACTACAGGCAGAATCCTCTAGCCTTGACTGCCCAAGTGTTGGGAGCTACCACACCTGGCCAGCTTACCTCTTAAAAACAACAAGAGTTTATTTCACAGTATCTAGTGCACAAAGATAAACTAACTGTTGACCCAGCACTCAGCTACAGTAAAGTTGTATTAAGTACAAGGTCACAGGAAGATCATTTTCAAGAAAATAAAACAACGGAAGCAAACTATCTTACCCAATAACCACTGTTAAGGATTTGGCGGTTCAGTGGGACCAGAGAGATGGCTCACTAGTTAGGAGCACTTGTTCTTGCGGGAAGACTGGGGTTCAGTTCCCAGCACCCACATGGAGGCTCACATCCATCTGCAACTCCAGTTCCAGGGTGTCTAACGTTCCCTTCTGTGAGGACGAGACATACATGATGCACGTACATACTTGCAAGCCAAGCACTCATACACATTAAAAAACACAACAACAAAAAATACCCCAGGGGGTATTTCTTATGGCTGAGGCCTAGTCAAATGTGAGCGAGGCCCTTCCTGGGTTTAATCCCTAGCAGGGCAAACAAACAAAGCTTCATTTCTGTAAGATGTTTAACCTGAAACTAGACAGCAGCATACTCTGGTCTCGTCTAGAGAACTAGCTCTCCGTCCTCAGAAGCTGTGGAGGAGGTTCAGCAGATGGCGGTGATAAAACAATCATTGAGAATAGTCTTTTAAAGCCAGATTAGATAGGGAATAAGAAGGAATCACACTACAGCCAAATTCAAGAGGCCCTCCCGAGGCTAGTCTTGCTAATCCCCTTGCTTTGGAGATACCCCTGACTTTCTGGGGCTGGAATTACAGGCAGACAGACCCACTCTGCCCGCCTGGAATTTAACTCAAACTCTGGTCCTCTAGTGTTCGTGGCAAGCTCTTAACTGCTGAGCCAGTTCCCTGATCTCAAAAACGTTGATGAGAGTAGTGGCATCTAGGTAAGGGGTCACAGGGGAACCAGCAGACATCCAGCTACTGTGGTGTAACAGATGCTTAGAATGATGGGGGATGACCTTCTGGTTTCTCTTATTGGTCGATGAAAAAAGCTGTTTTGGCCAATGGACAGGCAGGATTTAGCCAGGTGGGAATTCTGAACACAGAGGCAGGGAGAAGGATGACAGAGACACAGATGCCATGTAAGCTGCCAGGGTACCACCTAGGTAAGCCAAGGCTATGTGGTGATACACAGATTTAATAGAAATGGATTAATAATTATGAGAGAGCTAGCCAATAAGAAGCCTAAACCAATGGCCAAACAATTATAAATATATATTATATATTGTCTCTGAGTAATTCTCTCTCTCTCTCTCTCTCTCTCTCTCTCTCTCTCTCCTGGGCCCACAAGATGGGGAAAGGCTAGAAGGCAGCCTGACACACAGGCCTTCATTTTGTGCCTGTTTCCATCTCTGTGGGTCAGACTCTGCATAAGCAAGACAACACAGACTGTCTAAAAACCCACTGATCCCCAAACTATCTCTTTTAGGACCGAGTGCCCCAAGAGTCATTATCTTAGACCTATGGTCGCCCTGGAGTGCAGAACCCCAAAGCCTTACAGGCAGGATAGGTTAACCCCATGATGAGAACAGTCATGTATGGGAACAGTCATGTATGGGAACAGTCATGTATGGGAACAGTCATGTATGGGAACAGTCATGTATGGGAACAGTCATGTATGGGAACAGTCATGTAAGAGAACAGTCATGTATGGGAACAGTCATGTATTGAAGGTGGAGGTTTCTGTCCTGCTTGGTCCCACAGCTGCCTTGCTCCAAACAAACAAACAAACAAACAAACAAACAAACAAACAAAGACACATTCATTTATAAACTGTTGGTTGGTGACTCAGCTTTTTTTTTTAAAGATTTATTTATTACATATACAGTGTTCTGCATACATACCGGAAGAGGGCACCAGATTGAATTGTAGATGGTTGTGAGCCACCATGTGGATACTGGGAATTGAACTCAGGTCCTCTGGAAGAGCAGTCGGTGCTCTTACCCTCTGAGCCACCTCTCCAGCCCGATGACTCAACCTCTTATTGGCTAGCTCTGACTTGATTATTAACCCATTTCTACTAATCTACGTTTTGCCACAAGGCTGCGGCTTACCCGTAATCTGGCATGCTACTCCTTGGGCAGCATGGTGTCTTTCCCCTCTCCGCCTTCCTCTACCCAGCCTTCTCCGGCTCTGGTAGCCCCACCTATGTTTTCTGCTTGGCTATTGGACAATCAGTGTTTTGTTTATCAACTGATAAGAGAAGCAGAAGGACATCCCCCATCAAGATACACCTGGACTGGTTGACTAGCAATTTCTACGACCAGAGCTGGAACAATAATCAGAATCGTGCCTTGACCAGGACTGCTCAGTTATGCCTACCTCTTGTCCCCTGGTCCTTGTTTTTCTGTTTAACCCAAAAGTTCATGTCGGTACCCTAAAGACAGACTCAGGGTTACTGGACCCCTTTATCCGTCCCTCTTCCCAGTGGATGGTGATTAAATCCTCCTTTCTGCTTTCTACCTTTCATAGATTTAACTAGCACGGGCGGCAGCTGTTGGGACTGCTGAGGGCAAGGCTCTCCTGGACAAAATACCCTGCTTTACAATGTGAGGAATTTGACGTTCAGCAAGTTAAGTAGCAGCCTAGAAATTAAGCCTCATTCTGATAAAAATCGGTGATCACAACAATAACGCCAGTATACACGGGAACAATGTGTGACGTGCACTAAAATGTTCATGATGATGGTAGGGTAAAGCACAATGGGACTTGGGGAGCTTTTTCCCGTATCTATTGCGAATCTCCACAACATTTGAATTCTGTCTGGTTCTGCATTACTTTTGGATCAAACAGGAGGGAAGAAAGAAGGACAGCTTCAAGAAGGACTCATTCTTGGGCTCAAGATGGCTTAGTGGTTAAGAGTATTGCTGGTCTTAGTCCGCAGTGGTGGTGCACACCTTTAATCCTAGCACTCGGGAGGCAGAGGCAGGCAGATCTCCATGAGTTCGAGACCAGCCTGGTCTACAAGAGCTAGTTCCAGGAGAGCCTCCAAAGCTACAGAGAAACCCTGTCTCGAAAAACAAAACAAAAAAGAATATTGCTGCTCTTGCAGAGGACCCAGGTTCTGTTCCCAGCACCTACAATAGGCAGCTCACAGCCACCGTAACTTTAGTTGCAGGAGATCTGATGCCCTCTTTTGGCTCCTGAGGGCACCCCGTAGAAGGAGAAAACTGATTCACAAACGTTGCCTTGTGGTGGTGATGGTGGTGGTGATGGTGGTGGCGGCGGCGGTGGTGGCGGCCGCGCATGCCTTTAATCCCAGCACTCAGGAGTCACAGGCAGGCAGATCTCTATGAGTTCAAGGCCAGCCTGGTCTACAAAGTGAGCTTCAGGACAGCCAAGGTGGTTGTACACAGAGAAACCCTGTCTTGAAACAAAGAGTTGTCTCCTGATATAACATACATACACAACAACTAAATAAATAAAGTGTTTTTAAAAAGTAAAAAAAATTACAAAAACAACAAGAACCCAATTAACCAATCAGAAGCTGAGGCATATATATATATATATATATATCTCAGTGGCAGAGTTCGTGGCTACTCGACATGCACTAGAACCTGGGTTTTATCCCTAACACTAAGGAATAAAAAAGTCATCGGTTTCACAGTTATCATTAAATAGAAGAGGACTCAGGCACGGACCACAATTTTATGAAGGACATTAGCTAGGGCTGGGGAATTCTCTCTAGTGGGGCTCAGCTGCTCGGTTTGCCTCCCCAGAGTCTGTTTCTGTCCTTGTCAGAGTGGCACCGTCCCTTGAGGGCACACCCTGATATATCATTTATTTATTTACTTTTTTTTTCACCAGGAGGAATTGTTTGCTTTTGCTCATGGCTCCGTATTCTCTATGTTCGAGAAAGTCATCTGAGTGACGCATTTTCCCCCTTCGGGTTCTTCATTTAAAGGTGTGTGTGTGTGTGTGTGTGTGTGTGTGTGTGTGTGTGTGTGTGTGTTGGGGGGGTTGCGCTCGTTTTTGTTTTTTGTTTTTTTTTGTTTTGTTTTCTTCTCTGACAAGCAGCTTGTCTCTGCACTGTCCGGTTAGTGACAGCAACGCTGATCCCCCTCACAGACACACACACACACACAGCAGCCCCAGGGCGGTAGGTATCTGCAGGTTCTGCACCACCGTCAACACAGCCGCAGGCTTGCAGAAGGGACCTGCCCAGGGAGGGCTCCCACCCGGCTTTCTCGGACTCGCCAGTGTGCAAGCATTCTTCTTGAGCTTGAAAGAGACCAAAACCAACCCCCCGGGTGACTTTCCCCCGCGGCTAACTGCTTTGAGAGGAAGAAACCTCTCTGATTTATGTAAAACAATCCGCCCCAAAACCCAAACAGACCCTTTGCCGCTGCGCTGCTGCGGGTCTGGCCTGCTTCCCAGCTGCCGGCACGCTCCCGGGAATCTCTCTGCAGCGCCGGCTGCTCCCCCCCCCCACCCCACCCCCCCCCCCCACCCCCGGGAGCTGGCGCGAAGTCAGCTGCTCCGCCGGGAAGGCGCCCCACCCGCCGTTTGATTTCGCTAAATCACTCCTTGGGCTAATATCTCAGGGACAGACAGACACGCGGCGCATCTGGCTCCGGCTAAATATTTTCAGTCACTCGGATCGCAAGGTAAATATTTGCCAGGTCGATGGCAGCGGCGGCGGCGGCGGCGGCGGAGGCGGCACCCGCTGGCCCATCAAACGCCAGGGCGAGCGCAGCTGCCGCGGGGCCCCGCCCACTTCCCCGTGATCCCCCGCGCGGGCCCCGCCTCCCCCACCCCGGGCTTCGCGCGCGCGTGTGCAGCGCGTGGTCCCCGGGTGCGGCTCCCGCTCCTGCTCCCGCGCGGCGGGTTACCCGGTTGGCGCTGCTTCCCGCGTTCAGCTCGTGTTTGCACTGTGCAATTTCGTTTTCAGTTTGTTTGCTTGTTTTAGGAGATGCGGCCTGGGTGCTCGCCCAGCCTCTGCCAAGCAGTGCGGTCGACGCGGGCCAAGTGGTTGGAATTGGCGACGCCAGGAGAAAGTGGCGAGGAGGAAGCTTCCAGAGAGACGACGACAGGGGT